AAAGGGCTTGATAACGGGCAGTATAATAACAGAGTGCCGAAAATAAACAACGTGATATGGTTCTTCATTCTGGATGTATAGAATCTGTACGCCTATTGTTGGTGTTGTGGATGGTGTTGTTTGCTATATACCTAGTTGGTTTTGGGTAGAAGAAGTGTCACGTGTCCCGGTTCCGATCCAATCAGTAGCTTTTTTAACCCACGAATGTCTATTATCGTTGTTGACACAATGCCATGCTTTTTTCATTCAATGGTGGACTGGAAGATTTCTGAAATTGTAAGGTGGTGCTCACAAGTGCGGTTAAGGAATGGTTTGTGGTCTAAAAAATGACCTAATTACGGCAGCAAAGCTTCTTAATAACCCACTCTGTGCATGCCGTGAAGCATACGAACAAAAGCATTTCGTGTGATTCAAAACTGCAGACGACGTTGAATTATGATTATTGCTGGATGTAGGTTCTGGAGCTGAGCACATTGTGCAGAAAGTTGAATATTCTTTTGTATTTTTCAACTCTGTTTTGTGTCCTTTGTACCACATAATTTAATACAGGGTCTAAGGAAAGGCGCGACGTATCATGTTGAAGGCTGCGGGTTTGATTCCCGGTCTGAATCTAGAGGATTTTTTTCAGGTTGCAAGCTATTTCGACTTCTCTGTATCGAGATATATGTGAGAGAGTATCGTTTGCTAGTTGCACAATATATGAAAGTCACATTATTGGCCAAAATTCTGGGTTGATACTACTACTCGGTTGACATAAGGGTAGCAATTTCATGGATTTCACTCTAATTTGCATTTCAGATGTGATTTGTGTAGAAATTTCACACGGATTAGTTCTACTAAGCAGGAATTCAAACAAGTATCAATTTAATTATTTAAAGACTCGATTCGATTGATTTTAAGGACAAATTTTCAAATAGACATAAGCGCTTTTGTTAAAAATTGCTTCAATTTTAATGATAGCTCAGGAAGCTCTTGGAAACGTCTAAAGATGTTTTTTAGAATGGAATCATTGAAAGAATACTCTATAATTATAATGTCACAGTGTTTGATGGATTTTTTCGTAGATGCCTAAAGATCATTTCTGAAGTTCTCAGAATGTATCTGAACCTCTCTTAAGTATTTTAAACAGCTCTGAAATTGGCAGATCCTGTCTTAATCACTTCTAAGATCTTCGAAGTTCACCAAACCTATCTGTAGCTCATCAAACTTTTCGATAGCTGAAGCTTGGTAGCTCTTTCTTTTCATTACCTCCCTAATTATCATAGAATTCATCTAAAAAGTTCGGTGACCTCCAGACAAGTTCAAAGAGCCTCAGAGAAGTTTGTTGCACTCCAGGAAAGTCGTGCAGATTTTTGATAAATTTCCTAAATTTCAAAGAAGATCTGTGGCCGTCATAGAAATTCAGTGAAATTTGGAGAAGCACAAAGATTTTCATTGCAGTTTGGAAAATCTAAGAAGGACTCAGAAAACACCTAAAAGGTGTTTGGGTAGATTGAACTCTTTGGTTATTCGGAAAATTTAGAGAAATTTCCTGATTTTACAACAAGATCAATGGGCTTCAAAGAAACTCAACGAATTTTAAAGATGCTCAAGGAACTTTATTTTAGTTCAAGAAATACCAGAAAGACTCAAGGATCACTTCAGCGCAGATTGGGAGCACTTCAGAAATTTTTTGGAATCTCAGAAAGTCTCTTAGAATATGCCGTTCAAAAGATCCTCAGGTTGTAGTTGTAGAGAAATTCAAATCAACCAAAGAAAAGTTAAGAGTTCATCAAAGACGTTTAGAGAACTTAAAAAAACTAGGCGGTCTTGAAAATGTTTTAGAAATTTCTATTAAGATGTAAGAAAATTTGGAAGGGTTTAAGGAAATTCAGTACTTTAAATATGACTAGAGATCCATAAACAAAATGCACGGAACCAAAAAAATATTCGAAAATAGAAAATAGGTTCAGGAAACCTCATAATAATTAAGGTGAAGGACGCTTCGTAGAAGTTCAGAAATTTCTGGAAAAGTTCAAGATAGGCTCATGGAGGCTCACAGAACTTCCAGAACCCGTTGAGATATTTCTCGTTGTAAATTAATTTTTTTCATCTATTCGGGACCTAACACCACTGCGACCAGTAATTTGATCTTTTGTAGTATATCCCGTGTCCTTAGTTCAATGCATGTCGTATTACTCCATCACTATTGAGAAATGATGAAGTATTCGATTTTTTTACAGTTGTCATTCTCGCATTTTTCGCAAGGATCTGACTCTAATTGAAAGGTCCCGCTACTTATACCCTTCGAAGTGTTGAAACACCCTACAAATGCGCGCCCCTTTGTCAGTCAAAATTGGATTCCTTAGCAACAAAATTAAGGAATGACACCGATAATGACCATGCATCAGAACCCTAGTCTTAACCACTTCAAACTAGGGAACAACGAATTGAAGATTAGGAATGAATAGATGAAGACCAACTAACTCATTTTTTCATTGTTTCAAGATCATCCTCGGTCCAGGCTACCCGAGGACTTATCACAATCAACAAGGCATAAAAAGTAACAAGGACTAAGATGTGTTCCTTTGATTACTGTAAAATCCTGTTCCCCTAGTTCGAAGTAGTCGGAATCGGTGGTAGATCTTACATCCCGTAACGTATCACGAAAAGGTGATCTATCTACCCACGTTACGGGGCTACCGTAAAGGTTATTGTCGTGCATTTTTTCCTTGATTTGTTTTCCGTGTTGAGCACCAATGCTACCGACGCCAGGAAGGCAGCTCCAACACCTGGACCCTACCTATCGACCCATCACAACTCATGAACCGGGGATCAACGGCTTTACTTAGAAAGGCGTGATCAGAGATGTTATGCCTCAGAACATCCCGGCGGCGCCGACTGGGATCCCGAGCAAAGTCGGTTAACAAAATGAAAGCAAATCGATATTAAAGTTTGCAGTTCCTATCATAATGAAAACTCATTTTGATTTCAATTGTCGCGACAGAAGTCTGATATCATATTGTGCTTTCATTATGCAGTCAAGACTTTTTAAATCAAAGCAACTTAACTTGAAGTTCTGCTGTTAATTTCTTGTTTAAAATTTGATTTAAGTTCATCTGTCGTTGAACTAACGAATATTGTTTATTTGTTTTGTTTAACACATTTTAGGTCATTCGTGACTAGCCCGAGGTGACATTTGAGCTCAAATCTTTCAGCGTGAGAAGCATGGATGCTAACCATTTACGACAGGCCCGTATTAAGTCAAACATTATGAATTCAAAATCAGTAATCAAATTGATTTCATTGAAAGCAGAATTAGTTTTCCGTTTGATTCAACAGTGTAAAATTTTGCTCTCATTTTTGCTGTGTTAACCGTTAAGTCAACCAAAATGAGATCAAATGGAGTATTCAAAATAAGTTACATCATAACAGCAAATTCTGATTTCAATTTGATTTCTAACTTTGCTCGGGATTGAACCCAGGCTTGCTGGGGTGAGAGGAAATCACGCTTACAACTACACCACCGGCGCCACTTAATGTCGTGCTGTTTATGTTTAAGATAAACAAGCAATGATCTGTGGAAACTTTGAAAATCATTAGGACGATAAAGCTGACGTAATTGAAATAAATGACGCACAAGCATCACCCTATCATAGGCTCTCGTGTCACGTAATACATTGCGAAGTGAAAGATCTTGTATAATCCATGTAGAATCAATCAACTTTTCATAACAAACATTTCCAAACGATGAAAGCAGCTGCATTGACAAGCACTTATTCCGTTACGAAACTCACGAAGAAAAAAAAAACAGTACAATACCTATAATTGCGCTTCGATGTCAAAAATTCGCAAGTCAAAAAACAAACAAAACAATTTGTTTGTCAAATCATACCGTTATGAAGCTCTTTTTCCTTTTCCACCAAGAAAAGAACAGCCGAATTCATTTGGAGCGAGCCGAGCTGTGGCGCCTTGCTAGCGACATTGAAGCCGGTTTGTTTTTCTTTTTGCATCCTTTCCACCTTTCGGCATCCCCGTCTACCTTTCCTATAGCTTTGGTATCCCCCCTCTACTGAACTGGGCAGACGTTTGTTGAAAGCAAAAGCCAAACTCGCGTGAGCAAGGCAGAATGAAGGGAGAACCTTTTGGTGAGCGTTGTAGTTTTCGCACATGCTCACTGATGGGAAGGTCTTCTCCATCGCTTTTTTTTTTGTTCAACGAGAATTGAGTCTTGCGATGGAGTCTTTCCAAGAAGATTCAGGAACAACGAAAAAGAACGAAGTAGAAAGTCGATTTTGATTAGATTGCCACTACATGGAGCTGGAGTTCCTAAGAAGGAGATGTGAGGTAGTTTGTATTACACATGAGCTACCGAAGGCATTGTTTGAATGTGTAACTGTGACATGTTATGCAATTATAGTAGACGGCACTTTGAGAGGAGCCTGCAGGCGTTTCTCGAGAGGGTAGTTGGTCACGACGTGTGCCGTAGGCGTGTGGGGGTTATTAACCCTTACCCTGTGGCAGCCACAGCCGTCTCGAGGGAATTCCCGGTTTACTTGCATAGGCAATTGCACACTCTCAATTCTTCTGCTCATACTTGTCTCGACCGTTTCTCTTCGGGACTCGGAACTTTCGGCCATAATCGATCGAATGAAAGATTTTTTCCAACTGATAAGACGACCATTGGGTCCTTACAAGGAGGGTGGGAAAATGTAGTTTAGCACCAGTACCAATGCTCTTGGTACCCGACTGACTATGGAGTGTCGGAAGAAATTGCATGCAAATTTATTGATTTATTCATTTGCATGACTACAAGCTGTATCCTGATGATGCTTGTTTATTGCTTGTTTCAAAGCAGCTTGAAGAGCGACGTCGTGAAAAAATGGTTGATTATCATATCGCTTGACGAAATCAGTAGATAGTTATCCGGAAGTAGCACTCTGCAAAGTTTTCAACCACTCTTCATCCATCTACCGTTTTGTGCTTGGAGATGGTTCTTGCCGATATGCAGACATTTTCACCTTTTTATAATTCCCCCATCACTTCATTTGTTCTGCAATCTCATTCAACCATCTTTCACTATTTAAGACACGTTCATGCAAATTAAGTGGCTTGCCTACTTTCAGGGCAACATTTTTTCAACCAGTGAAGAGTTGTGTCTGAGAAAATGGATCCTTTTCACGATTTATGGCACCACAATTCAAGCCCACTTTTATCCACTATAACTCACAAAACTTCAAACGAAACCCATTTTCATTGGGAAATTAACACCGAACCGATTTTTACGAGCAGAAAATCCGGAAAAAAAAGATTATATGTTGAGAACGCACAAATAACATTTTTATCCTTGTGGCCTTCTGGAACTGAAATCCCCGTATCACTGTATGCGATGTCCTATTTGTATAATTAATTGTATATACAACAGCCTGGTGTAGGTGTGTGAGTGTCTGGGTAGTGGTGTGTCGCGGTCCGAGAGTGTCAGAAAATACGGTGCTATTGCGGAAAGTTGCACGGCGTGGACTGAAAACTTCCAATCGAATGTGACTCTGCTTGGCCTGTGAGAGTCGGAAACCCGTTGTCTCCATGGCTCCAAGGTGAGAGCAGTGGAGAATTTTCATCATACCCGGAGATTGTTGGAGCTTTTCCGTCGGGAGAAACTGCGAGAGGCGTGAGAGTCACGTGGAAAACACGTGAAAATTTGCTGGCAAGAGCGTACATGTTTTGGTTCTATCTGTCAAGTGTCAAAAGTTGTTCTTACCAGCTAAGATTGTGATGTAAGGCGACGAGTTTGGAAATTGGATTACTGTCTTAGCATTTAGCGAATGCATAATCATGTACGAAATAACGGTCCTTCAGGTCTAAGCCTTTTCAATTTACAGTCAACTGATAGTACGTTATAGTTTAGTTATTGTAAATGATGGTAATGTGAAAATAAATATACGGTTACATCTGGACCTTGAAAATGTGGGCGTTGAGGATGTGAGGGGATGACGAAAGCGTTTAAGACGAATCTGATAAAAAAAAAAACATTAGAGGCGTCCGTCTACTAGACGCCATTGGCGAAATTATTTCCCAACCCCACTTATAAACATAGTCTGTGTCTCTTCGTTTGATTCGTAATGATACACGCAAACTAAATGGCATGTACAGAGAATTTACATAAATGTAATGATGGTACGTAAAGCAATAAAATAACTTTCTCCAAATTCAATATTTGAGTTTTGGCTACAAATCACAAGATGATTTTTATAGCTTAGTTGCAATCAAAAAAATCTGCTGGATTCAGTTAATCTACTTCTACTTAATTGAACATATTTCAAAAGTCTTCCCATCAACGTCGCTCTTAAAAAAATAAAAAAGTCTTCCGATCGCCTTAAAGACTGTATTCGAAACAAATTGGACACACAAAATAGGTCAACCCAAACGCCCGCACCTTTGCCTTGACCCCTTTCATCAAGTTTTGGGCAATAGTAGGCCCGACTTGTTTAGACATTTGCAATCACACTTTCTTTAATTCAAGTTAATTTTCAATCACTATTGGGGTTTTACGAAGGTTTGTTTTCATGATGGCACCGAATTTCTCGATAAGGCGAAGTGTCGGAGTGATTGGAGGGTTAACCTATTTTGGTACAAAAACAACATATTAAATTTTGTACCAGTCTATGACGGGCCGGACATAGTGGCAAGATGCCAAAATAGTGTCGGGCCTTCGTGAGACCTCAAGAAGGGCAGAAGTCGCATTTAGAGGCATTCATCCTTGTAGATTTGTCCGTTGATGGTCCCACGTGTGATGAAGGACTGTCTCATTTTGCCACATCCGCAGACCGTTTGCCAGACAAGGATTTTTTTGGCGAATTTTGACAGCTTCTTTTTCCGTACACTAGGAATAGGTGGTGACATAATATTCTTGTCCCGGCATTTGTCTGGTGTCAGCCTTGATGTAGGTCGCATCGTCCATCACAACCCAGAACGGTTTTGTGAGCCACTTCCTGTACAGTTTTCTTGCGTGTATCATGAAGAACGTTTCGTGGAATACATTTGTGAGAATATCCTTTTGAGATATTTGTTGTCATGTTTTGTTTTTAGTTTATATTTTATTTCTTTCATGTATTTAGCGTAAATAATACTAATTCAATAATTGATAATTCAGCCATATATTTACCTGAAGCGAACATAATCGTAATGTGACGTGAAGCACTGTTGATTGTGTGATGCTCGATGACCCTGATTTAACTCCAAGCTCTTCTACAGCATAATATATCGCCATCGTCATTTGTATATTTGAGATTAACCATCAACCTCGAAAATATTTGCATTATCGCGTATTTCAGTCGTTCGTTACATACCAAGCGAAAACGTAGTCAGAATTTGTCGCGGAGTGTTATGGTTCTATGATGCTCGATGACCCTAGAGGGATCGTTTTTGCTTACTGAGTTGAAAATCATGAGTTTAATTCCAAGCTCTTTGTCAGGACTCTTAAAATACTTATTCACTAAACAAAATGAATATTTTTTTTCGATAGTCGTCTATCGAGAGATTAAATGAGCAACACATAATCAATATAAGTTAAGTAAGTAATTCATCAGCATTTCCTTCCCTATCTCTAGTTATGGTAAAGATGGGCGTGGCCGGAAATAGCGACAGTCATGCTTCTGGAATTCTTGTTTCGAATGGAATTAGTGTTTACTCCCCAGCATTATTCCTGAAAGTAGTCTGATTGAGAATTTCAAAAGAGTCGTGAGTGTCGCTAGTATCGAAGACATCAAATCAAGAAGATTGGCAACTCTGCCAGAATCCAAACGACAAATGCAGTAGCGCTGCGCTCGACCGAAGGAGAATGAGCAAATACACAAACCTTTCTTCTGAGCTTGTAACCTTTGCTATCGAATTCGCTTGTAGCATTTACCTTTGCACGGCAGATGACGCGATTGTGTCGGTCTCATAGCGGGCGTATGAGAAAATTTAAGATTCTTCATGATATGTTGTCTTCGCTAGTATCCAATCTACGACGTGTATCATAACAACGCTAACGCTAACGCTAACGCTTCCTGTACAGCTTCCTTGCGTGAGTTTTGGCCACCGTGTTCTGTTTGTCGCTCCGGTTGAGTACCTTCCGAACTTTGAATTTGTGTAGTCCAGTACGTTTCACTGTTTTTTGCACAAAACAAATTGAAATTTTCGCCTTTTTTGCCACATCCTGAATCGAAATGTTGGGTTGACGCTTGAATTGGTTTTATTTATTTATTTATTTATTTATTTTAACTTACTTTCATCTAGCTTGACGCTTTAATGAAATGTAGCACGATGAGGAAAAGCCATTTTGAGCTGGTTGACTTTACTCGAAAGGGCATAAAAACCTGATATCTTTTGTTCTAGCTAATTGCATTGAACAGTTACACAAATAAGTTCATGCTAACAAAATACATTATCAAAGTCAGAAGATAAAAATTTAAAACTATGTCAATGGGTAATTAAACCTATATCCAATGGAACGAATAGCCATGCTGTGGTGGGCGATCCTGTATGCAAGCCTGATCGTCAGTCTCATTTGTCATCTGTGCAGTAATCTACGTTGAAATGCTGCAGCGGATGAGTTGAAGTTGAAGAACTGGTAAACCTCATTAAATATTGCCGTCATAAATCGAATCGGATCGTGTTGGTCATACCCTGCATTACGTGCTTCAAGTGACAATAAGTCTCGCTGTCGTAAAACTCTTTTGGGTGCGTAGACGTTCAGTTGGGCCAGTATTTCTGCTGCATCAGTTTCACCCAACATAATTTTCGCGACAAACACAGCCTGTGCAATAAATCAAGCCCAAGGAACCTGTATCGATGTTCATACGGCGGCAAATTCACAGGATCTTGCCATGGAAGACTACGAAGAGCATATCTCACAAATTTCTTTTGAATTGATTCAAATCTACTTATCCAAATGGTCTGATATGGACACCACACGATTGCATTGGATTCTAAAATCGAACGTACTAGTGCACAATAAAGTGACCGGAGGCAGTGAGGATCACGAAATTCATTAGTAACTTTGAAGATGAATCCTAGTTGTCTGTTGGCCTTTGTGATGATACTATCATAGTGAAGCCGATATGTGACGAGAGACTGGTTGGAAATGTTGTAGTCGTAGGTGATTGGGTTCAGTTTCCGATGAAACGTTATTACATTACATTTAGGAATACTAATCGTTAATAAGTTGCTTGAGCATCACTTTTCGAATTTGATAATCAGTTGTGGTAGCAGGTCGCAATCCTGGATTCAATTTACGATTACGTATAATTTAACATCGTTCGCGTAGAAAAGGCGACATCTCGGTGATATAAAATGGAGAATAGAAGAGGTCTTAAGTTGCTTCCCTGTGGGACACCAGATTTGTTGGAGAAAGATTCCGATGATTCATATCCAATCTATACGTGTAGACTGCGATTTGTAAGGTACGATTCAAACCATCTGATGAGATCTCGGGAGATTCCGAGCTTATCCAGCTTTGAAAGCAGTATTCGATGATCAACTCGGTCGAAGGCTGCTTTGAGATCGGTGTATATCACGTCAACTTGTGAGCCGGCATCTAAGTTTCGCAAGCAAAATGAGGTAAACTGCACCAGATTTGTGGAAACAGATCGCTTTGGATAAAAACCATGTTGATCAACTGATATAATTGCAGCTCGCAAACAGCACCTCGTAGATAACTATTTCAAACACCTTGGAGCAAGCGCACAATGACGTAATGCCGCGATAGTTTTCTACATTCTGTTCATCTCCTTTTTTGTGAACAGGAATTTCCAGCTTGATGGGAATCTGCATTCTCGAAGGGACATATTGAAAAAAAAGCGTCAACGCCTAAATCAATGTACTCGGGCAACGTTTCAAAATGCAGGATGTAATTCCATCTAGGCTAACTGAATATGAGAACTTTATTTTAGAAATAGCTGATTCTACATGTTTGTGGTCAAGAACAAAATTCCTCAAATCACAGGCAGCTGCAGCTTGTTCAGTAGAAGCGATTAAACTTTGGAATGCACTCTTGATGTGAGTAGCGAATAGCTCGCACTTTTAAGAAGCGGATTTAACGATATCATGGTGCAGAATCATCTCTACAGGTAGGCCATTTTCTTTACGTTTAGAGTTCACAAAAGTCCAAAACTGCTTAGGGTTTCTCCGAAGGATGTACAGGAACCGGTTGTAAAGACGATAGTTATTACTGGCACGAGTAAATTGCTGCCTGTAGAAAGGACAGCGGTTTCTACTATAACTCCGAAGTGTTCTGGATCTAATACGTTTGAGCCGTCGTAAATGAGTATTTCCCCAAGGTGGCTTTGGAGTGGGTCTACGTATAGGAACATGTTCCGCTAAGGCAGTGTTAACAGTACGTGAGAAATGACTAACTGCTTCGTCAATGTTCGTTGTCGATTCTAAAAACGTCCAATCCGTGTGATGAAAAACTTCGTTCAATGTTTCATAATCTGCTTTTTTGGAATTCAGCTCTGGCTCGTT